CACCATGTGTCATCGTCACCACTCCCCCTCCCTCGTAAGTTCCATGTAGGTCTCTTTTTCAGTGAAATGATACATAGTTGCATACAGTGAAAAGTTGAAGATTTCACTGGAACAACTTAGATTGTGTTGTCAACATTGATAATTTTGGTTTTTCATTTCTGAAATGTGCGAATGTGACTTGTGCGAATTTGACAATTCGAATTTCAAAATACAATACAATACAATTCTCAAAATAATTATGTATCAGCTAAACTTTATCAAAATCCTTTAGATGTTTTTTATGATTTAACGAAATTTATCTATGTTTAGGACCACGTTTTTGAATTTTCGGAAATAAAGTTTCAAAGTTTTGAACCAATTTTAATTCGAAATAAAATAAAATAAATGTAAGATGGATTTTAAGTCATTTGTTTTTAATTCTACAAATTTTTAAATTTGAATTAAACACAGAAAACTGGTGAAGTTGACCTGTACTTCGAATGCCCTAGAACAACTTCGTATTGTTTGCACCCTTTTTATATTTTGCGTTCTCTATTGATGTTTAAAACAATGTTTAAAGAGACTTAACAACTACTACTCCAACTACCTCTACGCCAAATGTAACCACACCAACTACAACTACACCAACTACAACTACACCAACTACAACCACACCAACTACAACAACACAAACTACAACAACACCAACTACAACCACACCAACTACAACCACACCAACTACAACCACACCAACTACAACTACACCAACTACAACCACACCAACTACAACAACACAAACTACAACAACACAAACTACAACTACACCAACTACAATCACACCAAGTACAACTACACCAACTACAACCACACCAACTACAACAAAACCAACTACAACAACACCCACAACTACTCCTCATACAACTACTACTACCCGTCCAACTTCAACCACCACGCCGTCAACTACAGAAGGGCCCCCGCCATTTGGAAATGGGACTCTTGTCAGATTCATAAGCTATTTATCACCACGGGTAAGAGAGGCTACCATACCTTAGAATGAGCAATATATGGCTGTACACTAGTGTTTAAGCGGCATATGTAAATACGTTAAATGTTTTCATAGGCGATCGAAGCTTACAGATCAGGTCTTCAATATGGAAACAAGCTTCATGCTAATTCCGCATCGTTGGACTGTTCAAATTTGGCACAAGTTTGGATGTTGGTGACAATGAACGGCGTTGGTAACAACCTTAAAGGCCGTCCATAAATTTTGTACAGCAAAAATCGCAATTTTCTAGACCTCCCCCCCCCCTCACTCCCCTTAAAAATGTGTAACATTGGCACGATATCATTGAAGCCTTAGACCCCCACTTCCCCCGGCTAGGGTTATTTAATTTATGGACAGCCCCTTATTCCCTTGTACCGTATCGTAAGGATAAGTAATTGTATAAAATTTTAATTCATTCCACAAAGCTCCTCGAGTAATTTAAGTGCAAAAAGTATGAGGGTGAAATTACTATCCTGTGATTAATTCAAAACGTTCAGGTCAATCCGCCGTGTCGATGTGCCCCTATCCATAAGGTGTATTTAGATCACACGGAATAACTATAGAGTTCCCATGTTCCCAACTTACAAGGGACACTCACGACCTGTCGGTTGAGTCAAAGGTACCCAGTGGGTACCTTTGACTCAAAAATATAGTGGGTACTACCCACTATATTTGTTTACCCCAAATGAAGGATACATTCATATTTCCGTATTAAAGTCATATTTGGCGCCGTGGCGTGACGCCAAACTAAAAAATCTGAATTTTCGACAAACTTCAAATCCCCATAACTTTTACACCGGATTTTCAAAATTGCATGCTCAAAATGATTAGAAAATTCGAAATTTTTTAGAAAAAAAAATAAAAACAAAAATTTATATTTCTGAGATATTTTTCGAGGAACCACGATGTATCAGAAAATTGCAAAATTTTACAAAGCTCAATTTTTTAAAAAACTTCATTACATACGAAAGTTGAACTCTGTCATTATTTTCGTAAAAAATTTTGAAAATCTCCTCCGGATTTCAAAAGTTATGGAGGTTTTAAAATTAAAAACAGTTAAATTTTGCGAATGTGGCACCAGGCCACGGCGCTAAACATGAGTTGTTTAACACGGAAAAATGAATGGATCCAACATGTGGGGTGTAGGTGGATTCTAAAAGCATGATGGGTAACATGGACTCAAACATTAGGTCGTGAATGTTCCTTATTAGATCAATAATCAAAACAATGAATTTGTTTACTACAAATTCGTTTTATACAGGCGGTTTGAGATTATGCAATTGTCCAACTCATCCAGCACATTTCGACGTCTTATTCAGTTCCCTACCATTTTAAAATAAAGCTATGAATTTTGATTAAAATGAATTTTGAAAAGTTGTCAAAATTCTTTCCGTATTTAACAGGCATTTCCGTAATCCTAAAAATTTTGAACTTTAAATCAATTGATTTAGAAAAAAAGTTTTGAAATATGTCTGTGATCATAACGAACAAAGCTTCAGAGTATATTTGCACAACTAGAGAAATCAAAATTTCACATCAATCGTTGTTAAATAAATAACTGAATCAAGTTCCTTCACAGGATTCGACGTCTACTTACTGGCAATTTTTTAAAGTTTCCGGGACTCAATATTGGGCGATAAGCAACATTTTTAGCCTGAGGAATAATACATATAAGTACACCGGATAAAGTCACATCTTAATACGTGGACATAAGTAAATCCAAATTGCCATAAATTACTAAACCATTTATGTATGCACTTGTTTATTAAAGTATTCCGGACGATATCGGGATTGAGATGGTGGCAGTAACTCTGAATCTGCAGGACAAAGGGCAGTGGTGGGAAATCAGGAGATGTTAAGAAAGCCAAAAGGAAATGTCGCCTGTAACCTTTCTTTACCCTATAATTTTATAACCTGCATGCAATCATAAACCAGAGTCGTGGTTCCATCGCCTCAAGCTATGCAGATGCATACATGTATTTATAGACAAGTATCGGTACATATGTATGCCTGATTCATGCAATATCGAAAATAAATACTAAACATCTAAATATGGTTCAAATCTGGGTTGGGGCCAGCCATATATTGCACCATCAAAAATTCTCGATCCTATTTAGCACCCACCCACCCAACAGGAACATTGAGGGATGAGGAATTTTGACATAGGCAAGATAGGGACTCCTAAGCCACCCATCCACGAAAATGATGACGTAATATATTAACATTCCGGTTGCGTTATTTGATGAATCCCGATCCCGGTATTATCCCTGAAGGATTAAGGGTAGCAAGCAGGCTTCATGATTTGGCAGGAGAATCGTACCCAGCCTCCTTCCGAGCAAGATGCCATGAGACTCTTCAGTATGTAACTGCATACCTCAAGTGTAAGGGAACGATTATAGATCGTGTGGTTTTATCACCAACAGTGTTTTGTTAAAAAAACGATTTTTTTTTATTTTTTCGTAATATGTTAGTGTTTAATCAAAATCTGTAGGGTTACGGGTAAATCATCGTTGGATAACTCGAAGGCGGGTAGGGTGGTAGTTGGACAACTCGTAGTAGGGTAACTCGTAGGAGCGAAAAGTGTCGTAGTAGGACATTTTCGTCGAATCCAATTTTATTTTAGAGCATTATTTGGAGTGTTCATAATAGGGTAAAAAGCAATGGAGCTTGAACAAATAATTCGCTAGAAAATAGAAAAAGACGTATCAGAATTTTGTGTGAAAGCTCTCATATCCCTCCTTACTGAAGTTTTTTCAAGTGAGTAACACTTGACCGTTGTAACGCCACGGTCGAGTGTGAAAATTTCTGGCAACCTTCCCACAGCTAAACGGTACAAATTCAACTAAATCGGCGGCTATTGCATCTGGTTGAAAATTATCAAACGCTCAAATTAAATAAAACTTTGTAACTTTGTAATAACTTTGTAAAACGTGTTGCATTAAAATGCTAGTTAGTATTTTACCTAAGAACTTAAGTTCTTAGGTAGAGTTACGCATGTCGATAAAAGGCATAACGACGCTGTAGATAAGTCAAAGAAGAACTTATTATTCAGGCGCTTATCGCACAATGTTCAACTGCTTTTGTTCCAACATATAGCGATGTCTCATGCTTAAAGCGTAGATGGACTAACGCATGGAAATTTTCAAAAAGAAAAGAAACCTAATTTTTGACAATCTTGTACACAATTTAATTTGAGTGTAAATTTTAAAGCTAAAAGACAATTCCATATTTTCGACCAAATATTCTTCTTCGACTTGTCCTCTTTATTCACTTGTCCGCCAGCGAGTTGTTCTTCCCCCGACTTGTCCGCTACCAAACTTCAGACGACGATTTACCACCAACCCAATCTGTATATTTTATTGCTTCGGGTCACCTCATTTGCGTAAATCTCACTATGCCCATTTTCGGCGATACCTGCCTTATACACAGAATAAACTCTGTTTCAAGCTAAAGGTGCGCCCACACTTGCAATTTTTGCTGCGAGATGCGGCAGTTTTTGCTGTTGCTGCAAAAGTCGTGCAGCGGCAACAGCAAACGCCGCATTCCTGTTCACATATGCCAAACTTTTGCAGCAAAAATAGCAAGGAGATGCGAGCTGTTGAGGCAGCTTGAATCGAGCAGCAAAAGATGCCAAGTCTGAACGCCTCGACAGTTTTTGAGAAACTGCTCAGTTCGTCATGAATTTCCGTATGTTGAGTGCTGTTAATTTTGTATACAAACTCCTGCATAATTTTGGGTGTTTCGCCATATAAACTCGAAGGTAAAACTTGGATTTTCTGTATACTACAAGATAGCTTTTTGGTTTTATATTCCATTGTTAAATATATCGATAATATCAGTATGCCGTTTGATTTCTTAAAAATTAATAGATTCATTAGAAAAGTTGAGAAAATCAATCTTAGCCAAACAACAACAACTAAGAATTCTTCCCAACACGATCAGAGAGAAAATCTCAAAATACATGCATGATGATACAATGGCTTTCAATCTACAAGTCAAAGCCATGCAAGTAAAGAAATTTGAAAAAATCCTGAGAGGAACTATCCCATTAAATTCAGCTGGATATCAAAACAAAACACCATCCCCCAATGAAACAGATACAAACCATGACATCACAAATAGCATAGTGAATTTATCTCATCGCACACTAACGGAGGATGAAACAAAAGCCCTTCAACTAGGTCTAAATTATGCTCTCCCATATTTCAAGCACAAGGACCTTATTGTTGAAGCAGGCATAAACATAGAACTTTGTTTGAATGACTTCGAAATAACTGAAGTACACAAGAATAAAATCCGATCAGGAATTTCCAGAATATTACACTCAGAGATTAATAAGCCAGACGAAATATCCAAAGATTACAAGTGGCTTAAACCAATATGTAAAAATCTCAAGGAAGATGAAACTATCACAATTGTCCCTGCAGATAAGGGAAATATGACAGTGATCATGTCCACAACCAAATACGAAGAAAAAATTGAAGAACTTCTAACTGATCCGAATTACACCATCATTCCCAACGACCCTACGAAATCAGTAGAACACGAAATTCACACCCTTGCGAAGAATTTATTCAAATTAAAAAGAATCGACAAAAATCAATACCAACACATTTCTCCTTCTAACTCAAAGATCCCAAAATTCTATGGATTACCTAAAATCCATAAAGACGGTCTACCCTTTCGTCCCATTGTTGATTTCCGAAATTCGCCCTCTTACAATCTGGCTCATTTTCTAAACAGGATCCTAAAATGTGTCACATCAAAATTCCCCACGACGCTAAAAAACTCTTACGAGTTTGCAGATAAAATCAAGAATTTTATTGTCCCACCCAACCATGAATTGGTCTCATTTGATGTCACTTCATTATTCACACGCGTTCCAATTCAACAAACCCTTGACTACATCAAAAAGCGACTGGACTCCTGCAATGATTGGAAAGCAGTTACAAAACTGACATCGGAAGAAGTAATGAAATTGATCAAAGTAACAGTCAACTCCAACTACTTTACTCGGACTGGGAAAATCTACAAACAAAACGATGGAACACCTATGGGAAGCCCAATTTCACCTATCTTTGCAGAATTCTGTCTACAAGAATTAGAAGAGCAATTAATATTGAACAATCCGGACATCCCTTTTTACCAAAGGTTTGTGGATGACTCCAACGGCTGTATCCAGGTGGGCAAGAAGGAGAGTATCCTCCAATCTCTCAACAGTTTTCATCCCAGTATAAAATTTACATGCGAAACTGAAGAAAATTGCAAACTACCGTTTTTGTATGTTTTAATATCCCGAGATGAAGATGGAGCCATTCACAGACAAGTTTATCGCAAGCTGACCCACACTGGGAGATACCTCAACTATAATTCATATCACCATCCATCCCAAAAGTTGGCCGTAATTGATGCCCTAAGTTATCGAGCTTTCAAAATATGCGATGATGAATATTTAGAAAATGAACTAAAATTAATAACAAGCTCTTTAATGACAAACGGATATCCGAAAAGTTTAATCAAAGTAAGAATAGAAAAAATGAGGGCAAAATTTTCAACCCAACCTATGAAATTCAAGACGAGGCAAAATCACCAAGAATAATCTTACCATATATGGGACCACTCACCCACCGATTAACGGCTTACTTACGCAAGAACCTAAATTGCGAGTTCGGATATTTAACTGGAAAAAAGATGAAACAAATAATATGTTCCTACAAGGAGAATCCACCACCCGATAAAGTAGGAATTTATAAAATTAAATGCTCTTGTCCCTCTATGTATATAGGTGAGACAAGCCGTCCGCTTAATCAACGCGTAAAAGAACATCTAAATGACGTCAAGAAGAAAAATGTAAAATCAGCGGTGGCACTACACATCATGGAGAATCCCAACCACGATATCAACCAAGACTCAGCAAGTCTAATTCTACCCGAACGGCGAAATTTTCACAGAAAATTTCTTGAAAGTTTATACATCCGTAAAACCTCTGACGCCATGAATCAAGACCACGGCATGAACCTCAATCCAATCTGGTCTTCACTAATGTTACCTCTGATCAAGCGCCCCTAACAACGATACCGTTTTTTGAATAACAAAATAATTTATGATTAGTTTTGTGAGTGAAATCAATCTTGTTTTCTCGATTTCCAATATTGTCCCTGAAGATGATACTAGTGTGTATCGAAAGCTAGGAATAAATATCTGCATTATCACAACAACCATGTCGTCCGATAAATCCAATACAGATTCATAAGATATTTCATGTCGACATGAATTATGTTAAAAAGTTAACACAGAAATGCATGCATGCAAGAAATTGCAATAATTAATTAACACATTTGATATCATATGATCATGGATAGTTAAGACGTCAATATGTATTCCTATCCCCGTTAAAAAAACTTAAAAGCAATTATTATATATAAGGAGTTTCGATTCCATAATTTTCAAGTAGAGATTATCAGTGCTTGAGATTTATTTTCATGGATGTCAAATCGATTTGAAGATATCACTTAAAAAAATATAATCTGAGTATATATAAAATAATAGAGTATGTATAAAACAATTCTTTAATATAATTGGAGTCAATTAGAATTGAAGAATAGAATTATAAATATTGATAAAACCCATGTATATAACATATAAGACTATGTGCATTAATTTCCTTGAGAAAAACCAAGAATTAAATGAGAATCCATTTCAGCAGCAAGTTGCGGCTTCTCTGGGAGAAGCTGCAAAAAAAGAGGCTGCGCAGTCAAAAAAGTTGCAGCGGCAGCAATTTGATGCGTATATGTGAGCGCGAGAGAAGAAAATGCTGCCGCAGCATTTTCTTATCTCTTGCTGCCGGCAGTTCGGCGCGGCTCCAGGCAGTTTTTGCTGCTCATATACATCGTGGCCATAAAGTTTCTGATGAGGCAAAGAATTGTTTTAAACGAGTGTTATTTTGGCAAGGAAGAAATTTTATTAACCAAATCGTTTATGGTATGTTTTGCACAAGTAATTTGTTCGTCCTCCAGACGAATTTGTTGGTTCTGAAGTTTTGCCCTGAAAAGTTCTGACAGATTTTCCAAAACTGCTTTGAGAATTTTTTTCAAAGCGGTTTGAAAAAGTCGAAACCGGGAAGCACTATCGCTTGGAACTGGTTTGTCGAGCGTCTTGAAATTGAAGTAGGGTCATAAATTTTTTATTGGGTTCATGTCCGGGCTTCTTTCGAGCCACACACCTTCGCCAGTATGGTAAATGCCCGTCACTCGAAAAAGCAAATGGTAACATTTGAAGTGTGGGCTGGTGTCATAGATCGGAGTACTCCGGGCTTGGAGTACGTACTCCGGCCTCCGGAGGCCGGAGTACGCAGCTTTTTCTGGAGGCCGGAGTACGCGGAGGCCGGAGTACACGTGGCCAGCCGGAGGCCGGAGTACGCGGAGGCCGGAGTACACGTGGCCAGCCGGAGGCCGGAGTACGGAGGCCGGAGTACGCAAAATTTCCGATCGCATAGATAGGAGAATTCCGGGCTTGGAGTACGTACTCCGGCCTCCGGAGGCCGGAGTACGCGACTTTTTCTGGAGGCCGGAGTACGCGGAGGCCGGAGTACGCGTGGCCAGCCGGAGGCCGGAGTACGCATGGCCGGAGTACGCATGGCCGGCCGGAGGCCGGAGTACGCATGGCCGGCCGGAGGCCGGAGTACGCAGAGGCCGGAGTACGCGGAGGCCGGAGTACGCGTGGCCAGCCGGAGGCCGGAGTACGCGGAGGCCGGAGTACGCGGAGGCCGGAGTACGCGTGGCCAGCCGGAGGCCGGAGTACGCGGAGGCCGGAGTACGCGTGGCCAGCCGGAGGCCGGAGTACGCATGGCCGGCCGGAGGCCGGAGTACGCGGAGGCCGGAGTACGCGTGGCCAGCCGGAGGCCGGAGTACGCGGAGGCCGGAGTACGCATGGCCGGCCGGAGGCCGGAGTACGCATGGCCGGCCGGAGGCCGGAGTACGCATGGCCGGCCGGAGGCCGGAGTACGCGGAGGCCGGAGTACGCAAAATATCCGATCTATGGCTGGTGTTCCGCCATCTCAAGATGGAATTTCTTTCGAATTTGGAAAAAACTGTTTGATCTCCATAGTATCGAAATACATGGGCGAAATGTGGTCGCTGCAAAACGGTCCGTCTATATACTAACCAGCAAAACTGATATCCAATTCCATCACGCCTCGAGAGCAGAGCCCACCGTAAACCGTTACATGTAGTCGTTTTTTTGGAATCCTTGTCTCGTGAACTCCGTTTCTATCCACAATTTACTACCTTGTATAGTGAGGATTTGCCACAGGATGACCATGTATTCAGGTCTTGTGCGTACACAAAATTCTAGCCCCTTTTCAAGTGCAGTCAAGCAGCCGTTTATCTCGAAAAAATCGCCAGAAACCAAGTCGATGCTGAAAGTTTTGTCCCAAAACTGGTTTGTAAGGAACTTCCAGAAAGCTATGTGACCCAACTCACTAGTTTTTGCATGATGCTGCATAGTGGAACGAAAGATTTTCTACCTTCGTCCATTAATCGATCTGTTTGATTTAGGACTGCTTAACACTTTATTGTCGAAGTACCAGATTTTCGGCTCATTATTTTTAAAAGCGCATTCCAAATGATGTGTAGGAGTCTTGTGGGTCGTCCTGGATGAATTTAGTCCCATATTTACTTCCGGTTCCTCCACAACTTAACAATATTTCAGGCAACCCAAATTTCGGAGGGTTTTCTGTCATTCATCCAAACGTTGGGTTATTTTAATAATTTTTTCAACAAATGAAGACTAACGTCTGGGGGACATTTTCAGAAAAAATTAGTACCGAAAACATAACAACAAAAAAGTTTCAGGATCGGATTTGAAAATATTTTGACTCGTCAGAAACTTTATGAGCCATGTATGAGCGCCTTTGCAGTTGCTGCAGCAGCAGAAACTGCCGCATCTCGCCGAAAAAGCTGCAAGTGTGGGCGCATCTTAATGCGTCAAATTATGCGCACGTGGTGATCCCCTACTTCCGACTATTCTACACGTGTGTGTGTTCCTACATACCCATTCATTTGTAACTTTTGGGAATTGTCTGACAATCGGAGATAGGAAATATCTGACCAAATCGCTTCCTATTATCATCCTTATTTATTGTGATCACTTACCTATGAAAACTCTTACTACAAACGTACATACCTACATTGATACTCTTACTAAAACTGATCTGACCACTTCTTTTATGCTCTGGGGATGAGTTGTCTCCCTCCTTCATGTTCTTTATTTTCGCTCCGATTCCAGATTTTGTCATTTTCATATATAACCATATTCTGACCCCACAACGCATGTGACGAAAACGCTTTTTATGGGAACAGGATTACAAAATTGGTCAGATTGATGGTTGATGATCGTTTCATGGGCAATGGGATTTTGACTTACCCAAACTTTCACCTTACCCATATTATTATGCTAATAAAATAACTATGTATTTGTATCTTTAGAAAAAAAACAATTTACTACCATTAACCACGCACATATATAAGCTTTTACCTTCAACATATATATCTATGAAGCCCCAGAGCATTACTGGATAAGAATATGCACACCATCCCTCTGTGCTGTGGGGCAACGTTTAGAATAAAACCTTAGGTTGTGTGAATGGAGTATTTATATTTACTACGTTTATTTATATTTATTTTGCACATATAAGCTATCATAAGTTATCATAGGCAACAAATAAATTTGGACATGCCTAACTAAATTAACAAAAGAGAAATCGTATTATTCACCACTAAACTACCAAACATTAATTCATTAGTTTTCTTGGCCCTGAAGAAAGTATAGTTCCCGAACCCTATCGGGGCCGCCACGGGTCTCAAACTTTTCACAATTTTGACATATTCCTTCATTGTTCTAATTTTCCTCGTCAATCTCAATTCAAGTAAATTTAGATCCTGCTTCGTCTCTCTATCTACCATGGTAATCATTCCCCAACCTATTTTAGCCATAAGTGCGATACAGAGATATCCAATGAAATACATTGTCACGACAATTGGAGGTAATTGATGGTTCAATCTGATCAATATGTAACTTGCCGAACACAACCCAATACTCCCACACGTTACGAGAAAGAACAGGCCGTTTCTCACTATGAGTTCCGTTATATTATACCCGATCTGGCCGCATTTATACCACATGATCAGTATTTCTAAGTCGTACAGTTTTATAAGAAATAAGGGATAAATCTTCATCATCGTGGTAGCACAGTGCAGAATATATATCATAACGGAACATCCAAAGCAAATCATTAAGGCGTAATGGTATGCGAAAATTACATTAACTACGTAGCACACTAGGTATAATGAAAACCTGGCCAAATTCCTTGTTGTATGTTGGGAAAATACGTAGCCAAAAATATATGAAACCGCATCCAAGTCAAGATGCATCAGGATTATTACACCGAAAGGAATTAAAATATAGGTCGTCGCCGCAAATAGAGAAGTTAAAAGGGACAGGGTTCCTAAGCTGGGGTTTTTGAGTAGATCATCGGTATCATGTCCGTAGTGGATTTTGAATTCTGTAAATTAATATTAAAATGTCGTGAGTTGTTACATATTCTTTTTTGAATCATATATGATTAGCAAAACGGTATTGAATCATCACCAAACCGGGAGCCCACATAACTTAACCAAATTGTGATAATATTTTACCCCACATTGTGATAAATCTTCCCCACAATGTGTTAAATCCTCACTATCCAGTGCTAGGTTTACACATTGTGGGGAAGATTTATCACAATGTGGGGTAAAATATTATCACAATTTGGTTAAGTTATGTGGGCTCCCGGTTTGGTGACGATTCAATACCGTTTTGCTAAGAGTGTAGTTACTATATATGTACACATGTAAATTACGGTATATACCTCCTCCTCAGAATTAAATTACCTTTCGTCACGTGCCAATAAAAATCAACGATGCGTTCCATTATTTGAACAAACAGCTTCGGATTCAAGGTGTCAAAAACTAATCCATAAATGGAGCCCAAACCGATAAGAATAAAACAAACCCATGTCCAGAAGCGCATATCACCAAACAAGTCGTCTGCATCCTTACGCAAGCCGTAAATTCCGGCCGTGCAGAATACCACAATCCAAAAACTGGTTAGCAGGGGGACGACTCTAAGAAAGGGGTATTTAAACTGGACAGGATCGATTCGAAGAATTTTTTTCCGAGACACAAACTTATAAGGGAGTTTGTACGGGAGTGGGGAGTGTTTCCCGTAAAAGTGTTCAACCAGAAGGGCGGCCCCTAACGGTGTGCCGGCCTCAGAAAGAAGCTTCATTGGGATATTAGTGTTTGGATTTATTTTTTAGATAACCAACTTTAATATAAGAACTTTTCTTTACGTTAGTTCCTTGACTTGGGAGAACTATTACTGTTTAGATAGAAGGCTGTAATTGGTATGGTTGATGAATGCCTTTTTCGCTTCTAAACTTTTATTTTTGCATTAAGTAATTTCAGTATCAAACCGGTCATTTGGATGAAATTGACTTGCATAATATAAGTAAATGGCATAAATATGTATTTGTAGTTAACATATTCATACGGTAATCCATAATACCTAGTTGTAAAGGCTCAAGTGTCAGTAGTTTAGAGGGCTACAACTTTTTTAATTTTAGCAATACAAATTTCTGATGTATTGCATTTAAAAGCCAGTTAAATTTCAAGTTGGAAACAATTTTTAGTCTTAAAAATTTCCTCCTCCTACGGCAATGCCACGCTGAAGACGAGGCGGCAACTCCTCGATGGAATTACGCACAGATTCCAGGGACATTTTGTGGCATTCCGGGATCAGAAAATTTTTCCAAGCCTCCGCACTTCTACGGGGCTTAGAACACACCTTTGCCCCTAACTTTGACCATTTTTCATATTCCGGTGATTCAAATCCAGCAAGGATGATGACCATTTCTGATTGGAGATAAAGACCGGAATTTGTTTTTTTAGCTACGCTTGGGTCATTTTTTGCACTATAAGTTTGTGCTGAGTCCTCCTGAGAGGTCCCATCGATTCCATTGAATTGGATCTCACTTAGGGGATGTACCACCGACTCAAAAACATATTTTAAGAAATTTGATTCCCCCACCTCCCCCCAATTTTCAGAAAAATGTAGAGAAATTACCACAATTTGCTCCCGCCTGCCAAAATCATCAAAAAACCTGGATATTGTGACTTTCTGACCTTTTGTCTATATCGGGGGATGTCTCTGACCGATTTTGCGTAGATTAGGACAACTCGCTTGTTAAAAGATTTTTCCGATGTGAAAATCTCCTCATTTGTAAAAATAATCCTGCTCACTTTTTTGGAGCGTACCGCTTGAGGTGACTGCTGCATTTCTTTAATCTGGCTTTCCTTTGGGGTACGATCAGGCTGTGGCAAGTACCACATTTTAAAGCCTTAAGCCCAAGCTTCAATTTGAGCTATCATTGGATAATTTGCGTCGACCCTGTCAGCAGCGGCCCGGTTTACTTTGGAATTTCTTGAATTTCTTCGGATTCCAGGCTGGAGAGGCTTAACGATGGGTGTGGTCCTTGGAGGTTTTCAAAAAATTCTTCTTCGACTGTTCTTTGTCGACTCGGTCCCCATGAACGTTTTTATAGTCCGTTGGGCTAAATTAAAGTACACCTTTGACTTTTTCAACACGTCAAATTCACTGTTTTTCTTTGATTTTTTTTTGTGAAAAACTCGCCGCCCGCTTCTCTTCAATTTCCTATATATTTATCCAGATGTTCAAAAATTACAAAGTCCATAGTGAATCATAATGTAAATCGCATGGGCTTTCCAATGCGCGTATCCGTTTTTAATTCTGACAGGTAGTTTTCGAGAAATTAGCTGGTGACACTTGAGCCTTTACAACTAGGTAGACTAATTTATTCTTGGCTGACTTTTAATGCTTTAAGTATGAGGTCGGATTAACCTTCAGGGTCGTAACGACTACAATTATCGTTTAAGAAACCGTTTAGTTTGGGAAGACTAAACTCGTCCTGAAAAATTAAGGGTAGGTGCGAAAGGAGGGCAATTGTCGCTTCTGAAAGAGAGCGGCGTCGAAAGTATTTGAAGCGCCACCACCAGGGATGAATCTGATTCGCGCCGCTAATCTAATAATCTTTTTTTGACGACTTGTTTGTAGGTACGAAAAATTAGCCTTGTATTAAAATATCAAAAGTTACAAATTGATCTCAAAACTCATTCAATTGATTCAATTCTAGAAATTACATGGGACTAGATCATCCATAGTAGCCTTAAGTTTTGATATTTCGGAGTATAATGCAATTCTGTACCTCTGCCTTATTAAAATCACGTACTTCCCCCTGCCACAATTGCATAACGTCTTCAACCTAATGCGTTTTTCTGCAGTTGATGATCATACGCCTTAAGAGGTTAATACTTTATATATCTTAAATCCCGTAAATTTAATGAATAAGGGGACGTTCTTAAATTACGTAACGCTAAAAATTGATTTTCTCGACCCCCCCCCCTCCTACCTTTAACATGGGGTACATAGGCACGATATCATTGGGACCTCCCCCCCTTCAAGCGTTACGTTATTTAAGAATAGCCCCTAAGTAAGCAGTCGATTGACTTTATTTTTAAGTTCACGAGGAATACAGACTTATCAAAATCAATACTGTGTCCAGTCTGCGCATAATAAGTTTTCTCCGCCGCTAACAAGGCTAAAGAGCAATAAACAATTCCTTACCGTTTAATAATTAATTTGATGATTATAACTTGGGAACGTCCATATATTACGTCATCAAAAAGGGGGGGTGGGTGGTCTCGGGTGTCTTACTCGTGTAAGTTTAATATGATGAATAGGATAGGGAAGTGGTGGGCTGGTAGTTTCAAAAACCGGGTTTTTATGTAATACTTGCACATCCCCCTTGCAACTAATTCGAGAAAAGTTTATCCTGCTCACTTAAAATCTTCCAACCTTTCCCAAGTCCGTCTAGAAATAAATGGCCTCTGGTTGATTTGATTATCATATTTTTTTGCATAACGGCCATATCGCAGGAAGAAAATTTATATAATTTTAGATTATTATGCGAAACCTCAATTTAACATAATTGGCATTTTCATTGGGTAATATAGGTTTTCAGAGTTTTCGTAACTGTGGGTTGGTAAAAAGAGATTCTCATCTACGTCATGGTCCCATGGTTGACGTGAAAGATTCTTCGGAAAAAATATTTCGTAAAATTGTATTTAATTTTCCCTTGCCTATCGTCATCGGTAACTATGTATGGTTATCAATGATAACGGTAGATAGTTACCGATAACTTTGCACGATTCTGTATTTTCATAGAATTTTTTATAAACGAAAAGAAATGCCTCTGCCGTGCCTATATTTACAGGGGTGGTGGAAGCAGGGGGACATTATCCCCCAGAAAATCATGGAAATCCTATCTTGCCCATGTTATTAAGCCTCCTCTTCATATCTCACAATGCTAAAGTCCCCCAAACTTCCGCCGCCACAGTAACTTTAATAAAGAAGGCAAGGAATTTTCGTAAATGTAATTAATTTACACTATTTACCACGGTAATAAGGTGACATGAAAATCCTAATTATTTTTATGTGTGACACGAGTTATTTACTTGTTGGTAGTTGGCAAATAACAGCAAGTTTCAGAAGTTGAAATAGAATGACTGAATTTAATGAATTTAATGAATGAATTATGAATCTCACATTTTATTAATCTTTAACCATCATCATTAATCAGAATCATAACTGTTGACATCACTGCCCGACTCTTCTCCACTTTCGGAATACGCATTTGACATTTCGTTTGACCCCCGTTCCAAGTTTTCGTCCCTTGAGGACCTCCCCGTTCAGAGCGGAAATCAGCGAGTCGACGTCTTCATTCCGGCCAAGTCGAATGAAACAAAATCCTTTAAAGGTGGATGGTTCTCGGTCCGAAAAAGTTGGCTCCCTTGGAAGGACCACGGTGAATCTGGAGGAAAATCCCTTCGATTTCACGAACTCTTCAATGTCCCCCTTCGTGATGCCACTTCTTCCCCCGAATCCGACAAATACTGTTCGTGGCATAGTAACCTATTTTTAAAAAAGGATATGTGTAAGGTTATATACTTTAGATTATCGTAAAGTTTCAAGATAAGGTTTACGTAGAATGAACTGGGTCCTTTAACTTACGCAAGGATTGAAGAATTTACAACGAAAAACTTTGGTCGAGTTTTTTTTATTGATGAACAGCTCAATCTGAAATTAAACAATTAAGTTGAATCGGGTTCCTTGAGTAATTAACTATGTATGCAAATGCGAAAATTACCTTTCAAATGTATTTTTACGACTTTTTTACCCGCGCGGGAAGAGTGAATTAGGATATTCTGCAGGTTAGCGGTCGTAACTTTTCTCTCGTCGCCCCGAGTTATTAATTATTAAGTAATTATTACATAATTTGTGCATGCAAACTTTGCATTCATTTTCTGCTATAATTTCGGACTCTTAAATCTAATTTCGAATATTATTGATAAGTGTTAGTAATAGCTCGGCATTAAAGTTTTACCATATGAGTTTTACTATATGTACAAGATTTCTAACGTTCCAAGATGAAATATGGGAATTTTTATCAGTCCACGGTTTGCAAACAAATGAAATTTTATTGAAATGAAATTTAAAGTTCAAACAAGAAACATGAATTGATGAATAATCAACCTCTAAAAATAGAGTACTGAAATTGACAAAAAGTAACAATTTGATTGGACCTACAAACTTAGAATTTGGAATAATTTGTAGATCGATATAAAGTAAATCCTCCTTTTACACCCATAAATATTTATGAATAATTAACTTCAAGTTAACAAGAAACATGAATCATCAACCTCTAAAAATAGAGTTTAAATTGCAAAAAGTAACAATTTGATTGGCACTACAAATTTGGAATAATTTGTGGATAGATATAAATAAATATTAAGTAAATCCTCCTTTTACACCCAGAAATATTTGTGAAAAATTTCCGATTCAATCAAACTTCAAATACTCCGGATAAGTCGACACATCCTCCAAAAGTTGATCAAATTCTTGAACAGCCTTTGTCTTCGGATGTGAAATACACACCAATAATTCCTTCGCTTCGGTCAAATACTGCATCGCCAGTGGCAGTGTGGCCGACTGCATGACTGCCAAGCAGAATCCCAGCTTTAGGATGGAAAGTCTCGCCAAAAATGACGCCTTGACCTGGGTCTGGATCGACAAAAGTGCCTCGATTTGGCGCAGCTTCGTGTTAACAGACTTCTTGGAACGTATCTAAAAAAATGGATTTAAAATATTAAGGGTATTCATTTTTTCTTCGTATTCTTCGTATCGTAAAATAAGTCACGGTCACGACGACTGTTACAAAATTTTGTAAACGGAGTAAGATTTTGTCATAAAAATCAAGTTACGATTTTTACGAAGCTTGACACTTTGCTTTTTTGTTCGTAAACTATTTTACGATACTAAGGTTACGAAGAAATAATGAATTCCCTAAATGACTAATGTTAAAAATAGCAAATAATTTTAAAAAATGTAAATTTATTTGCAAACTCTTAAAAATAAAGTTACCCTTTTTGAAAGGGAAATGATCTCTGAATTTTAAATTGAGTAAATTACACTAAATCCATGATATATTTTGTTTTTTAATGTTACCTGGGTTTAGTATGGTTTACTAACAATGGAGGCGCAAACCATGTTCAGCCCAGATAATTTTTTGACCTTATTAGTTTGAAAAAGCAAGTCTTTACAAACAACATTTGGTTCGGCACTTGGGCAGATGCGCAAATTTCAGCACGTTATGGGCGCCGCAAGTTTGCAAAAACGCACGAAGTTGAGCTCGCGCTGGGCATTGCCCGAACAATCGTGCGTTTTTGCAAACTTGCGGTGCCCATAACGTGCTGAAATTTGCGCATCTGCCCAAGTGCCGAACCAAATGTTGTTTGTAAAGACTTGCTCTTTCAAACTAATAAAGTCAAAAAATTATCTGGGCTGAACATGGTTTGCGCCTCCATTGTAAGTTTAGAATTTAGACTGTATTTATTTTGCAAAATGGGAACATTATTTTTAAGTGTTTTACCTCCGGCTGTGGAATTTTCAATGACCGATCAATCCCTTTCCCCTCATCGATTAATTGGTCGAGATTCTCGTCTCGACAGAAACAGTCCTCCCGGCAGATGATGTTGTACGTCGACTGCAAATATGCCCTCGACTCTTGGGCAGATTCCGAGCTTGCAGTGAAACTCGTCTCGTTGAAGGCAGAATAGCTGACAGTAATCTCTTCACCGGCGGCGATGTCTCGATGAGCGTGGAGAACGACGACCTAAAGTTTATGTATAAAATAAGGTAATTAGTTATAACACTCTTAAAAATAATGTTACCTTATTGAAAATAAAATAAATGTAAGCTCAATATCATATTATTAATATTCATACTAATTGAATTTCATAAGTAACCTATTCCACATCTAGAGTGAGAATGTACTACTTTTCAAAACCGTAACATTAATGGCATTTATTTTGAGTTCGGATCATTCGCAAAAAATATAATTCGCAAAAACTTTTAGTTTTACAATTCATTTGCGAACTTGTGCATCTCAAGGGTTAGAATTTGGCTCGCAAAATATTTGGAAAAGTTATATCGCGATGCGAACTCGTCATGAATACCCTCAAAGTATTTCTAAGAGTGTAATTAGTTTTTATGCCATAAATGTAATTTAGCATTATTACTTACACTCATCGCACCATCCTCGACCGGAAACCGGCTAGCATTGCAGTCACAGGCATGATTGATCATCTTGAGCCGGCCTAACGATCCGACCGTGTCCGACTTGGTGAGGCCCGAGCCGCTGAATATCTCCGCGATGGGACGGTGCTCCACGACCAGGATTCTCTCTTTAGCAGAGAAAGAACGCATCGCCACGATTCCGAGACCTTTTCCCGGCACGTGAGCGACACACCAGTCCTCGTCTTCTTCCCCGTAAGGAATCCCGCACCAATTTTTGTGCCCTTGACCCTTCCCACGGACTGAAATGAAATGCAACGACACAAAACATGGTTTTAAATATATAAGCAATATTTGCATATTTACCAAATATGCAAAAATTAACTAATTATTATTCACAGCATATCCATTCCAAGTGTACATAAATACACTCAGAATTCTAAATTAAGTAAGTAAACCATACAAAACCCAGAGTAAATTTTCCTCTCTATAAAATTAACGTTTCTCTGGATTTAGTATAGTTTACAATTACCAATGCATAATTACTTTTCAAAATGTTGGCATTATTGTTAAGAATGTAATTTTAGAGATGTACATAAATATTAGTTCCTGCGAGGACTCTAACTGAACACAGTTAGAGTTCCTGGAAAGTGTATTTGAAAAAAATCACACGTAAAACAGATGAAAAAGTGAGATTTTTGGAGCACACACGATTTCGTTCCAGCTGCCAAACGTGGTGGCTGCAACTCTCACCGCCACCACCGCATCAAAATTGACGTTGAAATCACATAGGTGGCGTCTGCACCCATATTTCGGAGTCGCGTATTCCCAAATTTTAGGTTCTACGATGGTTGGTCTACTGCAGAAATAGGGGTGCCGACGCCACCTATGTGACTTCAACGTCATTTTTTACGCCAGGATATGTGGGGAAGAGGGGTGGTGGGGCTGAGGCACGGTGGTGCACCACCGTCGTGGGCGAAGCACGAACTGCTTTGCCGGGCAACAGCCACCACGCGCTGCGTGAATACTACCGATTAAGGGGGAAAAATGAACCCTCTATCGATGCGTTTTTCCTTATGCACTTTCCGCGAACCCTTTCTGGCACCTCAAAATCTCAAATGCCAGTTGGGTTCGCCGCGTGAACTACATAAATATGCAATAATTAACTAATTATTATTCACAATTGGTTAATAACCCCACCTTTGCAAGACCAGTCCACAAGTTGACACTCCTTCCCGCAGTAGACACGGCGACGACACTTTCCACAGCGACGTACCTCCTCGCCAGAGACTTCGAGGTGACACACGGCGCAATGGTAGACTTTGGCGGCAGCATCCTCTTTCCCGAATTCTTTTGCAATCCGTTCCTCCTCAGTCTGCGAAATATGCAAATTAAATAATTAAAATTAACCATAAATTTGGGTCTAATGACGTACCTCCATCTTCTCGTCGGCTTGATTGCTGCTCGATGTCGACGTCGACGGGGTAGGATTTCCCCCCTCTTTCCCTCCCCCAACCAACATGTCGGGAAGCGAGGTGTGGTCGACGGGTTGAATTTTCTCCCCCTTAAGCACCACCGTGGACGGAAGTTCAATCTAAAAAGTTCGAAATTTTATGTAAATTTAGAATTATGATGGAAATTTGAATTAAGACAGTAAAAAATTAAATATTTAGTTACCTTGTTTTTCGCCATGAGTCCCATCACGATTTGTAAATCTTTCGCCACAGAATCGTTACCTTGTTCCATCTTCTTAATGAATCTCCAATTAGGGCACGATTCGATTAATTAATTGCGAAAACGGAATTAATTAATTGCCAGAGCGTAGTTCGAACAGGTGTTGATTGTGATTTTGGTGGAGTGTGCAAAAAATCAGCTCTGCCACCAACATGGGTGAGAAAGGGGCGAAGAGCGACTACTCTCTCTCTTCGGCGTTGTACTTTATCAACATGAACGACTTTTTCCATTTAAATGGGAAAATTATACTTCATAAGCCATTTTTATTATTTAATAAAAATGGGAAACGATTTTGGAGTATAATTTTTCAAATTACACCAAAAGCATACAAAATTCAGAGGGCGAAATGACTTTTTTCCAGTTCGAATTTAACATAGAGTAGCAACAATGAAAACCGGAATCTCGAGGGCCACAAAAAATTAATTTTGTTCAGATTTGCATAGTTGGTACAGGAACAGGTGATTTTTGTGAGATCGACAAACAGTGTATTATTACTCGGGAAGGTGTTTCAAAATTCCCAGGGGGTGTAACCCTTTCAAGATATACATATTTAGGTTCAGGGGATTAAAGTCAATGCATCTAAAAAAATTTCAGGCCACACCCCCTGAGGGGGAGCAAGACCCCCAGGGGGTGTGATTCGTAACTTTTTATATTTTCGGAATCACAAACTCATCCTCACTCTAAATTCAAAGTTTTAAGGATTTAAAAAAAATTTCCGGGCGAGTTATACCTATTTATATGCCCCAAAACGTGCGTTTCCGGGCTACTTTAAGGGGTGGAATTCCGCGCACGGCAGCTACCCTACCAGGGTATTTACGGTTTCTTAATGCTACGAGGGAGTACCACAACTTTGCAAGAAAGGTCCGTAGGGTACCTGCCGTATCCAGAGTTACACCCCCTCAAACTTTCTCAAAAAAGTTGGTTATTATGGTTGTCTAATAGTAGCTATGCTGCGTGGTTATTTCACTGCGAAGTGAAGTGGAAATTAGTTAGATTCAGAGTTTCATCACTTCTGTGGAAGTGAAGTGGAAGTGAGTTCAAGGATCCAGAGTTTCGTCACTTCTGTGGAAGTGAAGTAGGAGTCAGACAGGAGTACTCGGAATTTGTCACTCCACTGCGGAGTGGAGTGGAAGTGGAGTGGGAGTCAGACAGGAGTACTCGGAATTTGTCACTCCACTGCGGAGTGGAGTGGAAGTGGAGTGGAAGTGGAGTGGGAGTCAGACAGGAGTACTCGGAATTTGTCACTCCACTGCGGAGTGGAGTGGAAGTGGAGTGGGAGTCAGACAGGAGTACTCGGAATTTGTCACTCCACTGCGGAGTGGAGTGGAAGTGGAGTGGGAGTCAGACAGGAGTACTCGGAATTTGTCACTCCACTGCGGAGTGGAGTGGAAGTGGAGTGGGAGTCAGACAGGAGTACTCGGAATTTGTCACTCCACTGCGGAGTGGAGTGGAAGTGGAGTGGGAGTCAGAAACGAGTACTCGGAATTTGTCACTCCACTGCGGAGTGGAGTGGGAGTGGAGTAGGAGTGAGTCGCGAGCACACAAAAATTGTCACTCCACTGCGGAGTGGAGTCAAGATAACCACCCAAAATAACCGCCATCTGACAACCATCCCAGATAGCTACCATCAGACATTGAATTTTTTAAATTTAATGTGTTTTTAATTTTCGCGCCATTCGAAACTTGACTTTCTTTACGCTCACTTTCGTTGCGGAAAATTTGCTTTCAATTCCATTGCTGACTGACATTACCAGCAAATAATTTTCGCTCGCCCGGCGGGAGACGGGCTTATACGCTAGTTTGGGAACATTTCAACCCCGGTGTCGGCTCCAACCGAAGGTGGAGGACTGCAGGAGGCACCATGGGCATCAGACATCGACGTCAGACAAAATCTAAATACAGAGCATGGGCCATCCTTACGTAGAAATTTTCAACAATTTTTCTAACCTACATATAAATTTCTTTTGGATAATTAACTTGCTCCATGTGATGCCCCATGTTCTGGGCTACAAGTCTACAGCGCTACTTCCTTGATGAAAACACTTCCTGACACTTCTGAGGGCTTATTTTTAACCACTCGTCCTTAAAACTTTTGCAAAGTCCATTGAAAGTTGTAGCTAATTTGTACATTTTCTCTACGACGCACAGGAAATTGACCTTGTCCCGTTACGGTCATCTACCCTGAACCAAGCTTCGTCGATTGTGACCACAGGTTCGTCGTTACCTCCAGCAAGGTGGTCCTGGTACAGCTTTTTAGGGTATAAACATGCGATAAGCGATGCGATTCTCGTTCAACGCATACAGTTTTGTCTTCGTCCGTTTGATTTTATCCCAATCTCTTTTAATTACTCTTTGAATAGTTGTGGGGTTCTATTTTAGTAGCTTTGCCATACTGCGAATGCTCTTTGGGATTTCCTGGCCGATCAAACGGTTGAGCTTTGTTTTTAGCTTTTTCGACCGATTTACTAGGGGGCGGTTTATATGGGGAGGAGGCAGTCCCTGATTAATGGCTTGTCTTCTAACGATTGACGGTCAGTTTGGCGAAACCCAGTTTGGCGAAAAAAAATTTTCGCCAATGTGGTAAAAAATTGCCATGAACGTACTAAATGGCGAAATTATTGTCACATTTGGCGAAAGTGAAAAATTCGTAAAAGTACATTTGGCGAAATTTAAATTTCGCATTTCTTTATGTCAAATCGCTTGATTGCAGGCCTAATTCTTGAGCTTTCCTAAAAATACTTTGACATAGGTGGAACCAACTCAATTATTGTCTTTGTGAACATGGACTTTGTAGAATCAATTGCCGCAGCCCCGAAATCTAGTATGATTTGAGAAGGATTGTAGTTTTTGACGTTATCTTTTGCAACATCAAACAATATTTTGTAGCACTCTTTGTTTTTTTAGGGAGAAGGGCATAAACTATTTTAACGCATTGTCGGCTTGTTCGGCTTATGCCGTCAATTTCTTCTTAAATGCAATGTATTGTGTAAAGTTAACCACTTCTTTTGAATATTTTTGGACATGATTTAAACGTCCCGTCACAAATCCATGTATCCGATGATCCCCGGAGGGTTGAACGCTCTTCATGAGTAACGATTTTCACAAAATCCTCGTTTTCGCCAAAAGCGACATTATTTTCGTCAAAAGGTACTTTAAATAAAATAAAACTAACGTACGGTGAAATGCATGGAATTTGTTTTTCGTCAAATGGGATTCTTTTTTGGCGAAAGTTTTTCGCCAAAAGTGTTTTCGCCAAACTGACCGACTACCCTTCTAACACCTCGTATATTTATTATTCTATAAATTGAGGCCAAACAAATTTCATGCCCACGGGCATTCAGTGTTTTTTATCACATTTCCGGTGAAATTCTGACTGGAAAACTTTTTCAGTCAGATCACTTAAAATGGTCATGGAGGAGCCATTTTTCAGAACTTATAGCAGAAAAAAATCAGAGTCTTATCTAATTGGTTTGCCTATCAAACAATTTAGGCCGGGTTTGTTTAAGTTGTGACAGTTTTTTCGCTCGAGCGTTTGAAAATTTCTACGTAAGGATGGCCCATGCTCTGTATAACAATGTTCGTATTTATGTCATATTTATACAGTTATCTCGACGAGGAAATTAATTTATCCTGATATATCTGAAAATAAATGCAACTGGACGTACAATTTTGACGCGTTAATTTTCACTTTTAGTTTTCAAGATTTTTGTTTCACATCTCGCCAATGGAAATATAATATCAATATCTGATTACTGATTTCGAAATAGTATTAGTGGATCAACAATTTGATGCCAAGAACGGAGAGATTGGGTGAATAGTTCAGTCGCAATGTCAATTTTAGTCCGGCATAAAAAAGTGGACGTTCAATTTTGTTTAAGCAAGGCACATACATATATCCAAGCATATATAAAGGAACACTTACTTCAACTCTCAATTCAAATATGTACGTATCTCTGACGTACATACAGTATGGAACAAATTTAATGCTACGATGACATAATTTTTATATCGACATGATCGCGTAAATTTTAAAATTTCAAACTCCGCACAAAAATCTCAAAAGTATATACGGGCAATTTCCTCGTCGCCGATTTTTAATATCGCACAAAGGTCAAAGGTCACCATTATTTTTGTGAACAAATTTGAGGCGTCGAAAAAAAAAACTTCGTGGATAATTTTTTTTAACTTTCTAATATTTTTTATCGGATACGACATGCGTTTTGAAGAAAAATGAGCTTTGGTCGGACCGTGTACGATTTTTTTGACGCCCACAGGAATTTTTCGCCAAGGATTATTCTATTTTTATTCAATTTTTCGCCATATTGACAGTCCCGACATGCAAACGTATATTTCAGTTCTCGAATTTTCGCCGCGGTGTCGATTTTAGGCCTTCAACCTGTCCTTGCTAAACCTTAATATTGCATGACGGAAAGCTTTCCTCGAAATCTTATGACAAATTAATCACGTATGTACAGTGTGTGTAAAAAGTTTCTCCCTCTCAAGTACTCATTATAGTTGTGAGCGTACAGAAGCATAGGGAGCAATATGTATATTCGATTTGCTGTACACTCAAAATAAGGTAGTAATGAATCATTACCATGCGGAATGACTATGTGGCTCTACCACGTCGGTTACGATTTGTCATAGGGATGGTAATAATAAGTTCAGGGAAATCCAAATTTAATACATAATGGTATTCGCTTCCTTAACATTTGGAAATGAATTTGAATTTCACTGAAATTATTATTACCATTTCTACGACAAATCGTAACCAACGTGGTAGAGACACATAGTGATTCCGCCTGGTAATGATTCGTTACGACCTTATTTTGAGTGCATTTATTTTATAAATACCCTACTATGTTCATGATCCCATTTTGATTCAACGGTTTAGGTCCTCAAAGTGTGCCAGATTTTTTTAATAACAAGCATATTTGATCTTTTTACTATTTAAAAAAATAATAATAGGACACATACAACGTGATTCTCAGTCCCACCAGTACCAACCTCATCTGTAACCAAGGTTTTTAGGCGGAATTTTGTTCTCAAAACGGCTGAAATTTCATTCCTTCATTGTTGGACATTCAGGTTGAGCAATTCCTTCTACTTTAGAAAGCTTTCATAAAATAATAAATTCAG